ATGCATAAAATAATGGTATAAAAGCATATCGTGTATCGATTGAAATGCAACTAAAAAATTTACGGTGTCTTTGAATAAAACATTTCCATGCTAAATTGCCAATTGAAAACATACTCGCCTTCAATTAACTATTTTCAACCTGTTTTCCCGAGGGTATTTATTAAATCTTATTTTATTTTCTTCTTTATAATAAAGTTGGTATTCTAGTATGGCAGTGTAATACAATTATGACTCGCTTATACTGTACTCTCTAACTGTTAGGAATAATTTATATTTCACGTGAAAGGGACGCCATACATTTTTCAGTAAAAATACATAACACGGCGTAAGTCGTTTAATTTCTTAAAAGTTTCACATTTTGTGAATAGTGCACAAATTAGAAAAGTATATGGAATACTTTAATAGTAATATAAACAAACGAAGTGTAGTTATTTGTTTTTAGAAATTATATTGAAAAATAATAACGTCATTGTGTCCTCTTCGTTACCCCAGTAGTGTTTGTCGTATGATTTTAAACTTATTTGACAACCGTATGAATTAGGTTTAATAAAAATAAATCCACAAGATACTGATGTACATGAACAGTTACTGGCAAAATGCGCCGTTGCTTTATTCTTTAGTTTTTATAGAAAGTTGCACGGAATACCCGATTTCGAGGATTCAACGATACCCTTATATCGAGTATAAGATACGATTTCACGGATAATACCCGATTTCGAGTATTCTCTCCGACCTGTTTAGGGACCGAAGACATCCAGAAATATCAATCCAATGCTCAAATAATTGCCATGTGACTTTTTTATGTAAGCATGCATTTTATATTCAACAGTAACATACTGGTCCAAAATATTAAGAGATGTAACCAAAACTATATTAACAATTTCTTTTACTGCAAGTTCCAGCTTTACGTGATGAAAATGGAATTTGATATGCAGAAAAAAAAATATCAAGTTAAGGTCAGATGATACAAAGAACTATATGCGGTTTATTGCATATATCTGCCCCCACAAAAGTAAAATTTTGAAAACTTCCTGAAATGTGCTGAATTCAATAAATTGCATGAGAAATATAAATTAACAGAAAATATTATAGTGTCAAAGCAGTGTATTCACAGTTTTTGTTTTTATGACGTCACAAACTAATCCGATTTTATACCCTTTTTCAAAAAGAGGACAAAATGGACGAAATTTCAACAATTTTAGCTTTAAAATTTATAGAGCGCAAGTTTGTTCAGGAACAATATTGACATATTTCATTGATATTATCATTCTACACGTTATATCGAAATATTGATCCTGAACACACATGCGCTCGGTGACTTTTACTCAAAATATCGACGAAATATGTACATTTTTCTGTAAAATTCAAAACAAACTGAAATTTACGTCATGTTTGTGACGTCATTACGTACATATGGCGTCATTACTTTTGAAAATATTCAGTGCTTTGAAGTCAGCATATACTCCCCTGTTTATGAACTTAATTAAATATAGGGTGAGTTCACCATGCATCGGACACATACCTTGCTTCGGACAACTTTAGGCAATAAACTCTCTTTCAACTTAAGAGTTCTGTGTATTTATTTGTTTCTGTCATAAAGACGAAGATTTAAATTTTTTTTATGATACCGATTGTGTTTATCATGTTGTGATAAAAATACCCGGCAAATGGCCTTGAAGTTACGTCATATTTTACATCATCAAAGGGGAATAACCCGAAATTTATGATTTTGCAATTTTTAGAGTTATCGTTCTTTTAAATTAGACTTCCACGGAACGAGTCGGACTTTGGTGAATTTTGTCAGGGATTGGTAATTTTACATGAATTATAATTAAATTTCACTTCAATGTTTGTTTAATTCTTATTAGAGCTGGTTTTTACTAGTATGCTATTTTCACCGTACATCGGACACAAATTAACCATGCATCGGACACTTTTCGATGCAAAGGTAAGCACTACCATTTTCATTCAGAACCCAGCTGACAGCTGTTTTTTGCGGAAAAAGAAAATAGAAACTCTATATTTTCAGTCAAAATACAAGTTATCAATATATGACGTCTGGAATTTTACTCAATTTATTTCTACAAACCAGAGTATGATAAACCATGAGAAAAAAGGCGCGAATTACGGCATTATAAGCATTTTAAAGCATTTCTATGGCAAAGTGAGGTATCTTGAATCGTTCTACATTTGTGCAATAATATCGTCAATTAAATTTAAGCTGAGGGTTATTTCTTAGATAAAAGATGAAAATATATCCATATCAAGGATTTGAAAGCACTGTGATAAAGGTATGATATTTTCCCGGTCTCCATACCGTCTGTCCGATGCATGGTGAACAATGTCCGATCCATGGTGAATTTTCAGTTTTTTCTAAAAACTCGATTTTTGGCGATATTTTCTCAATAAACGGCATATAATTGTGTCATAAATTGTTATTTTAATCACAAACTAAATGTTAAACTCCATTTTGATAATTTTCCGTCGGTAGCGATATCGCTAGAACTTGTTGAAGTACAAGGGTATCCGATGCATGGTGAATTCACCCTATCTCCATCAAAGTTTGATTTGGGGGGCAAATATTGGTTATTACCGAATAAAGTTCTTTCTCTACCTCTAGCATTGAAGAGTTCCAATGGTAAAAAAAATTGGTTGGTTTTGGTTTTGTCTGTTATATTATTTTGGAACTCTTCTGTGTTATAAGAGCATGAAAGGTGGTCGGTAATCAATGTAAACAACTAAGGCGCCAGAATCGTGCAGGTCGAAGAAATCTGGGAAATATGTGAGCAAAATACGACAAAAGAGATTACAAAATGCCAAGAAAGTGTATGCATTGTCATTAGGACGTATAATAGTGAAAGTCGATGCAAATAACAACGTGGTGATCAAGAAGAAATTAGACTCAAACAGAAAAACAAAATCAGAAGGTGAGACGGCACTAGAAGGCAAAGAAGATAAAGACTTCTTCTTCTTCTTCTGGTTTACAACAAAACTTCAGGGTGCTGAAGAATACTTGTTGGTGCGCATGCGTGACCTAACTCAATTTAAAGAAAAAAGAAATGTGCTTTTATTTACATTAGTGATTAAAAGAAAAGTTTAACTGTTTTAATTTTACATGATAGTGTTGAGAACAGCTGGTGTTAGCTGTTCTCTAAAAATGTCAACGTTAGTGGCTTGGACAGCGGACTGGGGAAGTAAATTCCATTGAATTATAGTATGTGGAAAAAATGACCATTTGTATGTTTCTTTTGATGTTGGTAAGTGTCGGTATGTTTGTGAGTGATTTTGTCTAGTTCTTGTGTCTGTAGGTATGAGTATTTGTGTTGGTATGGCGACAAGTTGGTGTACTACTTTATAGAACATTATTAGTCTTGTTTTGAGGCGACGCTCAGCTAGTGTTGGCCACTGTAGTGTGTTAATCATGTCTGTAACACTACTAGTATTGTGGTAAGTGTTAGTCACATAGCGAGCGGCCCTTCTCTGTACCATTTCAAGTTTTTGTCTATACTGTTTTGTATGTGGGTCCCAAACACTACAACAATACTCTAGTTTAGGACGTACTATTGATTGGTAGGCTCTGGATTTTACTTCTGTATTTGAAATTTTTAGATTACGTTTAAGGAAACCTAATGATCTATTGGCATTTGCAATAATATTATCATAATGTTTGTTCCACTTTAGATTTGACTGTAGTGTTACACCTAAATACTTGGCTGAACTTACTGACTCGAGTACATGATTATGTAGAATATAATTATGAGAATATGTCTGTTTCTTTTGAGAGATAGTGAGTTTAGTACACTTGTCTGGGTGGAAAGCCATAAGCCAATCAGACTCCCACCGTGCAGCTGCATCTAAATCTGATTGTAGTTTGTGACAGTCTTCTGATGTTTTTATTTCTTTGTAGATGATACTATCGTCAGCAAAGAGCCTTAGTTTACTATGTTGGAGATATTCAGGGAAGTCATTTATATAAATAAGAAAGAGGATAGGTCCAAGGACTGTTCCTTGGGGAACACCAGATGTGACAGGTACAGAAGTAGAGGAAATGCCATTTATAACTACTGTTTGTGTTCTATCTGATAGGAAATCATGAATCCAGTTTAAAGTCTGTTGTCTTATACCATAGAAATTTAATTTATACATGAGGCGACGATGGGGAACCTTGTCAAAGGCTTTAGCAAAGTCCATTATGATTAAGTCAGTTTGTATGTTGTTATTGTTTTTGTATGCAAGTTCTTGAATAAAATCTAACAATTGTGATTCACAAGATCTTGATTTCCTGAACCCATGTTGTAAATCATATAAGATGTTATTGTTTTCTAGATGGGCCATGATGTTGCTGGTGATTATATGTTCCATTAACTTGCAACATATGCAAGTCAATGAAATTGGCCTATAATTTACTGCTTTGTATTTTTCCCCTTTTTTAAAAGCTGGAGCTACATTTGCATGTTTCCAATCAGTTGGTATTTCACCAGTTTCTAGTGACTTTGTAAATAATAATGTAAGGATAGGCGTGACTTGTTCTTTTAGGTCTTTCAAAACCCTGCCATTTATATTGTCTGGTCCACAGGCCTTATGTGGGTTTATATTTGATAGTAATTTCATAATTCCTGTACTGCTAATAGATATAGGAGGCATGTCAGGGTGGGGGCTTGTACCTTTGTCTGGTATATCTGTGTTTGTTTCATTTGTAAAAACTGACTGAAACTGATGGTTCAATAAATTCGCTTTTTCTACTGTGTCTGTTATTAGCAATCCCTCATTTTTCAGGGGCCCAATCCCTAAGTTTTCTGTTCTTGTACTTTTAATGTAGCTGAATAAGTTTTTAGGTTTTGTCTTAGTTGTTTCATGTTGGTCTGGTTCATTTACTGGTAAATCAAAAATGATGTTTTCTATGTAATCTATGTAATGTAAGACTGCAATCCATCCGACGAATCAGAGAGTGACAGATTTGATAGTGATTGTGAAGAACTTATTTCTTGGAGAAACGGAAGAAGAGTAGTTGAACTCGGAGTTCTTGTAGATAATTTGGAAAAAGGTTGTGCTGCATGTGGTAGACTACTTGATTTACGGTATTGCGAGGATGAAAAAAGGTATGGACTTGGTTCCCTACTATACATAAGATGTCAACAAGAAGCCTGTAGCCATCTTTCTCCTGTCTCTACTGGAAAACGCCGTAACACAAGCACAAGTGGAAAAGGCAATAATCCTGCATGGGAAATTAACTTTAAAGTTGCAGCAGGTATAATATATAATTGAATGTAAATAATCTTTGAAGTTATCATCTGAAACAGAATGAATAACTGAAATTCTTTTATTTTACATCATGTTAAATTGTAGCAACACATTACCCATATTATTTTCAGCAACTTTACATGGGGGAATTGGTGAGAGAAAATTTAATGATATAATGTCGGTTTTAAACATACCAACTCTACATCATGCTACTGTGAAGAAATATGAAAGAATTGTTGGAAGATCTGTGGAGGATGTGGCCCACAAAGCTTGTAAAGATGCCGCAGCAGAAGAATCATCACTTGCCAAGTAATCTATACCATTTACTTCTTACATATTTTTTTTCAATTGAATGTATAAAATTTACTCATGAATTGACTTTATTAAAAAAAATAAGTAATTACAACTGCATTTTAAAAAAATAAATTGCATTAGAACAACTCGGTCATCATTTATTATAAATTTAAATTACAGAGAAAATGGTAAAATCAATGTAGTTGCAGATGCTGGTTGGCTCACAAGATCATCAGGGAGATCATATGCAAGTCTGTCTGGTAGGTTTTATAATTCATAAATCCATCATTTAAGAGCATAAAATAATAAAATGTACACATGTACAATAACTCAAACACACATTTTCACATGCGTATGATTGCTACTTTAAATTGCGCAAATCACTTTATCCTTTATTGCTTCAAACTACATTGTAAATTAAATGAATAGATGCTGTAAAAATGTAAAAATAAAAGTGACTTACTTCATTGGTACAAAAGAAAAATCAAAATATAGAAATGTCAGAATTTACAGTATCACAATAAAACAAGTTAGTATTTTTTAGGGAGAAATGCATAATTTTACAAGTATAATACTTTTTAAATAGGTCATGCAGCCCTAATTGGTTCCGAAACTGGGAAATGTGTGCAATATGCCACAAGGAATAAGTATTGCAGAATTTGCAACATGGCAGATAAACAAGGAAAACCTCCCAAGGAACATGATTGCAGAAAAAATTGGACAGGTATAAATTCATCTTCAAAAACAATGCAAATCTTGGTTTGAAAACATAGAGCTTGTTACATGTAAAAGAAAATAATTAACAGTGAGGAAACATAACAAATTCTCAATGAATAAACTTTTCTTTCAGAGATTATATCTGTTTGTCAGTGATACCTGTTTTTTGTTTTGAAAAGGCAGTTCCAAGGGAATGGAGCCAGATATGCGTGTTTCTATGATAACAGAATTAAGTGAATCAGGACTGCATGTTGATGCACTGACGATGGATGATGATGCTACTACAATTGCTAGAGTGCGTAGTGAAGTAGATGGGTCCATAAAGAAAATAAGTGACAAAAATCATACAGTGAAACATTTTACCAACAAATTATATAAACTTAGAACAGAAAAGGGCTACAAGCAACTAAATCCGCGAAGTATAGCTCACCTAGGGAAATGCTTCACATATGCCGTCAGTCAGAACAGAGGCGATGGAGAAGCCACTAAGAAATCAATAGAATCCATAGGGCCACATGTGTTTGGAACCCATGATTTGTGTGATTTTAATTGGTGCGGTTATCTGAAGAACCCCTTCACCTACAAACCCAAACACCTGCCATACAGAAAATACTTCAGTGGAGAGGAGTTCAAGGATGATTTATTCAAAACTTTACAAGAATTTGCCTCACAGTCCAGTAAACTGTGCAATTTAGGAAGCACCCAGGCAAATGAAAGTCTTAACAACATTATTGCCAGCAAAGCACCCAAATCGACATTTTCCTCTGGGTCAGAAAGTAACGATTTCAGAGTGGCAGCAGCCATAGCCCAAAAGAATCTAGGAAATCAGTATATTGCACAGGTATTCTAACTTTTCTTTATAAGATTACATCATTTGGTCATATGCTCTGTATGTACACAATATTTAATTTGGATAGTAATATTCTGATTGCTTTACAGGTACATGAAAACCTCTCACTGTCTCCATGTTCATTTACTGCAAAGAGAGCATCATACATTGATAATGAGAGAGTGAAGAAGAGAAAACTGGAGGAGTCAGTGGAGTACAAGAGAAATGAATCCAAAAGAAAGAAGAAAAGATGAATCACCAGTCGGCATGTTCAACAAGAGAAGGACCCACATATGAAACAGCTGTTTCCTTTAGCAATGAAGTACTTTTGACGGATGAAATACCTCCACCCCAGTGTCCTCCAAAGGCCACTCCACTACCATCAAATATTCCTGTTACTTATGTATACTTTGATTTGGAAACAACAGGATTAGGTAATAAAAACAAATATAATTATTATTATGGTCTGACAAATTCAATGTGATTGAAAAAAATATTATTTATAAGTTTTGCTGCTATTTAATTTTAGAAAGGGACAGTGAAATTACCCAGATTGCAGCAGCCTGCGGAGAAGAGAGATTCCAAACCTACATTCTGCCAAGAGGGAAGATCAGCACATCCGCTACTTGTGTAACAGGACTAGCTGTAAAAGATGGCGTTCTGTACCGTAACGGCACGAAAGTTACAACTGTAGATTCTCAGACTGGCCTAAAACTTTTTTATCATGGTTACAAAAATTCAGTAATCCAGTTTTAGTTGCACACAATTGTAAAGTCTTTGATTCTATGGTTTTAATTAATAACATTTTATATCATGATATGAAAGGCTTTGTAAATATTTTTGGATTTTGTGACACACTCCCATTTTTTAGAGAATGTTTGCCAGGCAAAAAATCTTATAAGCAGTGTTACCTAGCAAAGAATCTGTTGACAGAAGTTTATGATGCTCATAATGCTGTGTCTGATGTTCACATACTTCAAAAACTTGTACTCATTGTCAATAATTTGAAATGTCTCTCTTTGCACACATTTTCTGTTGACTATTGTTTTGATGAAATTCATTTCAATTCTAGAAGGAAGGAGAATTTAATCTCTCTACAGAATTTGTGTGATTTAGGAATTTTGACTGCACACATGAGAAAAAAAATTGTAGATTCAGGTCTTGGGTACAAACATATTTTGTTGGCACATGAAAGAGACCCTGTACAAGGTATTTCTTTATTATTTAGAGAGCTTAATAGTGAAGGAAAACCAAGAGTAACAAAGAACTGTAAAATTATAAATGGCATTGTAAATTATTTTGAGAAATTGTAGTTACTTTTTCATTACGGGAGATAACTCTTACTTGTTCAGTAAAATCAGCCTATGTGATTTTTACCATTTTGCTTCTGTTTGCAAAATTAATCTGGGCTGGCATATTTTTTTAAAGTTTATATTACACTTCTAGCACCAAACCAACATATTATGAAATTTATTTTCATCTGTAAACCTTTACTGAGTGTTATTTGTCCATATTAGTAGTTTTATTGAGGTATTTATTGAATATTTTCAAAGTGTAATTTTTATATGAAAGAAAATACTACAGATTATTGAGTACATTTAATATCAGTATACTCAGTGCTCCTATAGAACATTTTTTGAATTGAAAAAAGAGTAAATGAATAAAAGATTAAACAAATTAACCATGATTACTGTAGTTGTGTACTTTTTGAGGAAATATGGAAGATATTTCATTCTCCAAGTCTAAGGAGAAAATATTTCAAAGAATTAACCAGTTTTATTAAGCTGTTGCATCTTATAGAGTCTCCTTCAAAGAAAAAAATTGTTTGTATCATCTGTCCTTGACTACAGGAAGTATGTGGTATGATGTGTTATGCACAGAGATCAAGTAGTTGTTGAATCATGACAATTGAATGTAATAAAAACGTGCTAATTAAATTAGCAGAGTAAAAAGACTATCAACAATTTTATTTTAATGTACCAACCAACTTTGCGACCAGCTAATTTGTACTTTTTAGACAAATATTGTCAAACAATATTTTTCGTCTGGTGGGAGATTATTTTATGTTAAAAAAAAAATAGGAACCAAAAGATCAATGCCTGAAATCTGAACATAACAATGTACATATTAAAAATGTTAAGGCATATTTTTCATTGAACATTTTATATGAGTTTACAATATGCATGTACGTATTTGTTTTGGAATTGATTTATACTGTGAATATACTGATTTCAAAGAAAAGAAACATAATTTAGACTACATATATAATGCCCGTAAAATGTTTGTCTTGAAATAATGTTTCAAGGTTCAATGCTAGTGTATATTTCTTTAAGTACAATTCTATTATAATATTTAGTACAATTTGATTGTAATATGTGATATTCAGCAAGAAAAAACTGAAAATGGACTTATTATAATTTTGGACTCGTTAAGCATTTTTTGTGTAAATTTGAACAGGTCAGAGAGAACACTCGAAATCAGGTATTATCCGTGAAATCGCGCATAATACCCGATATATGGGTATCGTTGAATCCGCGAAATCGGGTATAGCACTTTAGGAAAGCGGCTGACCGTAGTATATACTACGGTCATCAAAACATGTCGGCCGAGGTCACCGGTTAGAATTTTTCAGTCAAGATTTTGAACATTTGCCAGGTTATCTGTGTTAATGCTACCCAAATTTAAATGAACGCTAATGAGAGCTTGCTATTGGTTATAATAACTTACTTGAATTTAAAGAAATAAAACTGTAGTGCGACTTCAAAGTTTTTGACAATGATGACCGTAATAACCACACAGATGACGACCGTAATATAATTAAAGAGATGACCGTAGTATATGTACAAAATCAATTGAGACGAAAATATCTTATTCAATATCAGTACTAGATGTTTAATACTGGTTACATTATACAAGATCTATACACTAATTAGTATGGAATTCATTAAAAGAACTGAAACGTTTTAAATATGATTGATTTAATACTTATTGATAAGAGAGCCCACGGTTGATTTAGAATGTTAAAGTAAAAAAGTAAAGTAAAAAATCTTGAAAAAAGTAACACTTGTCAAATACCTTATTTTTTTTGTTGTCTGTATTATTATATACATTATTTATATAAAAGAAATAATAATAATTGCGACTATCAAGTTCATTTTGTATTTTTCAGGAAAAATATTAATGTTGCGACCATCACTACATTGTAAGTCATAGTCCTCCTGTGAAAAAAGACAAACCTCGCCCTTCAAACAGTTTTGCAACCGTTACCCAAAACGATAGTGACTCATCATTTTATCTCGTGTTTTAAACTGTCCTTTGTTTATAGAACTGGCCGATATCAAGCAACAAGTGGAGTCCAATGAAAACAATAAATGATTTCTAAGACTTTAATTCTTGGTTGATGATGCATATTTAAGTTCAATGTTGCATAAATTTCATTTAAGTATCTCGTCAGAATTTTACGCAAAGTTTTATTGAAGTGATGTACCCTCAAAATGAAAATTCACACAAAAAATCTCTATGGAGTAAGACCACCACTCGCTAATTACTTCAAGACAATATTTACTTTTGGATACCATGTATCCCTGAATAGGAGACTGACCCATCTGCTGCCACACCTACTGTATAGTTCTTTCCAAACCGTCGAAATTGTGTGGAAAGGAAGGGCTTTGACTTTTCTCATAAAATACCAAATGTGTTCAATGGGATTCAGATCCGGGAATTTAACAGTGTATCTTCACACTGATGCCTTCTAGTCAATATCCTAGGGTGTAAAGCACGTTAGTGTACCGATTCAGACTACTAGCTTGGACTGATATTAGACTGTCACGAGCACCGATTATTTATTTATTTATTTATTTATTAATTTTCGTACGATTAAAATTATTTGTTTTCATGTTTTGAATATTATTTCTGGACAATTTGCCACCATTTTACTCTGGTTTGACGCGAAATTCTGTCCTCAGATGAAGATCAAGGTCACTTTCGGTTTGGTTGAATTTTGTCAAAAAATTTCAAATACTGTTATTTTGGTGATCGATGAAAAATGACGCCAAGCATATAGAAAAATGTGCTTAAATTGGTTTGATACTGTTTGTTAATTTTTAAAGGTAATATCAAGTACAACTAGAGAGTCTACTTTTGCTAGCAATAGCCTATGTCGCCCAAACTGTTCCACTATTTTCATGGCAACTATTAATGATTTTGGACAAGAATATCATTTTTTGTATCACTAAAACAATACCCATTGGGTAAGCTTGGACAACCATCAATTCGTATTAGTTCTTTCAGTACTTTGATTTAAAAATGAAGGTAAAAATATTTTCACCTTTCTCTGGTTTTCATGGCAATAATCGATTATTTGAACATTTTATATGCGAATCGCACAACTACAATTACTAATCACTAAAATAAAAAAGTTTCATGACGAATGTTCAAGGGACCAGGGAGAACACTTGGTCGTCGCTTTGTGTAGGTTTCCATGGCAACGGCAGCCATTTTGAAATTGAATGACCACATGACACAACTAAAACCAGTGATTGTCGTTTGAGAAAAGTTTCAAGAAGATTGTCCCAGCCATCTTCGAGAAACAGCCTGGACAACAAAAACATGTGCACAATCGCAAGATGTCGTCCCCGACTTCGTTCGGGACGACATGTACCAAAATAAAATTGAGTTAAACGTGGTGTAAAGATGGTCCAGATATTAACATTTCAATGACTCTTCCGTCTTTCTCAATGGTCATTTTGCCAATGTTTTGTAGTTTTTAGTGAGACCAGTTTTTTTAAATTTGATAATGATCACAAAAAAATGCAAATTACACAAAACACGTGCCGCATTGTACAAATTTATTGTTTTTAAGCTTCGTCACGAAACATTGGTTTTCATCGAGGATTGTAATTTTTTCCATAGTTGTTGAGAAGACTCATTTGTTGTAATAATTTGAAAATATCATGCCATTATATAAAGTAGTTTTAAAATAAATACATTTATTAAAGTGAACGCTTAGACGTTTTGTTAACCCCCTTTCCCGCCTTTTAACGCATATACCATTTCCTATTTCTGACGCAAAATCACCCATTTACCGTTTCCCCTCAATCACTCATTTTCACGCACTTTAAAAAAGTTCATTAAATCTTCAATGTACTGTAAACCAAGTATTATACGCGTGCGATAAATATCCGCGAGTTCCGCGAGTAACCTCTGCTCGCGGATATTTATCGTCGCGAACCAGTTGTTCATTTTCCCATGTTATGATTAGAGTTATTTGCTCTTTTTTGATTACCTATCCCGACTGTTCTATAAGTAATCACGGAAGAATTTTAGTGTTGTAGATGCAGTTGAAGTTTTATTACAAACATTCAGAAAAAATATATAAACGAATGGAAAATCTAAAAATATTTGTCTAAAACGATTAAAATGTCAATAAATATTTCAGCTTGTGTTATAATTATTGTTCATTTATTGTCACAGACGAGTTAGAGATAGCCTGGTTAATTACGACTAATTATGGCCCAGTCCTGCTCCGTCCCAACCATTTATAATAATTGCCCTTTGGCTATGTAGATCTTGTAAAACATCAATTACCCAATTAGCACGAGGTACTTTTACACTTGAGAGTTTTAAACCAACTTAAATCTCCTCCTTTTTTTACCGATTTTCATTCGAGCGTCGTGAATAATGCGTAAGAAGTATACTCATGGTAACATTTTACCTACTTTAGGTGCGGATATAAGATTTTAAATAGACGCAATCCACAGAATGTCTTAACTAATACATAAGCAGTACTTAAGGTAGCATTTTACCTAGTTTATGAGCGGATATGAAAATTTGATGCAAAAAATAAAATACTTGTGGAAATAAAAAAAATATGACCACTTGTTCGCGGAAATAAATCGTCGCGGATTAGTTCTCCAGCGGTCAGTCGCGAATAAAAAATGACGCGTATAATAATTGGTTTACAGTATTGCCAAATTCCAACTATTTCACACTTGCTTAATCTCATAAAATAAAAAAATATATATATTCTAAATAAAATATTACGGCATGATATTATTTACGCTAAACTTAAGAGAAACTTGTACCTTGCTAGAAAGTGCTTGCGGGGAAATGGTAACGTAATATTTGTATGACGTTTCAGTTTATTTTGCATAACAATTTTGTAAGTTTTAAAGTGTTAAGTGTGTGGCGCGTCAAAATCACAAAAATGAGCCAAACGCAGTTTCACAGTTGATAAACTAGGTTTGTCGACTGTAAACTATAGTTTACAAACCCTGAACTATAGGTTTCTTCTCTAAAACTATATTTAACGGTTGTTAACTATAGTTTACGAATGGTAGTCTAAGTCTATCTGTCATTGATAAAGCGTTTACATTATAGATTTAGATTCACGTTTGTAAACTATAATTTACAATCGTAAACTATAGGTAAGAGTTGAAACATAGATTCACGTTTGTAAACTATAATTTACAATCGTAAACTATAGGTAAGAGTTGTTAATCATTGTT